GTCCTCCATCCATATTTTCAGTTACAGGCTGAGTCATTTCTACCTTCTCCTCTCTGTCAACGCTCTCTGGTTTCATTTAAAAGAGCCYYTCYTCAGATATTGTCCAAGATTAACCTTCAGGCTGGATATAGCTCGCTCACACCGATGACCTATCCACATCATCATTTACCCAGAATGCTTTGTGGGTAAATAAAATGGCTCTGTCCGTGTTAAAATATATTTTTAAAATTTTACAAAACTAAACAGTATTTTTACTGTCTTTATTTTACAGTTAAAATGTATGTTTATCAAATAAAGTCTAATGTTACTAATAATCAGGGATGCCTTTAACAATTTGAACTGAACTGTTGAATTGCTTTAACTGTTGCTTTACCTTTTGGTTCGACTGATTTGTAAAGCCCCTTAGTCAACTTCTAAACATGCTGTGGAAATAAAATTGACAAGGATTCTGCAGAGCCTGAGAGAAATGTGGAATGGGGAACATTTTAGTATCACTGTAGGGAAAAGACTAAATAAACTGCAGATCTCTGTGTGACTCAGGCTCAGGAGCAGATTTTAACCACATGCAAGCACACACTTCTTTACTACTTCACCATGAGACAGGTATTTGACCCTGGTGAAAATCTTTCTAATTTGAAGAGCATTGTTTCACCAGCCGTGTTCCACAAACATGCCAAAGAAAGCAGCCTTTTAATGCCAAACAGAAAGGTTGTAAAAGCCCACCATGCAGTGTTTGTTCAAACTGCTTTTCATGACACAATCTGCTGTTTTAACGTCTCATTTATGAGCAGCTGTTAGCCAGGCTGATCCACCAGCTCCCCCTCCTTGCTCCTCCAAACCTGGAGAACTCGAACCACCATCTGCAACAGGTTGAAGACACTGACAACTCAACAGCTTTCCACAAACCCACTCAAAATAACCCCTATGTTTCGTAAAGGAAGCCAGAGAAAGGTGGAAATGTGAGTCAGACTGTGCAGAGGAGGCCAGTAATGGTGAGACATTCAAAGGTAGTGGGGGGTTACACCGATTCAGGACTTTTCCTAAAAGCTTTAATTTAGACTCAGCCAGATGACCTGAACCCAACCTAAATTGCTCTGAGTGGTTGGAGACAAGTTGAAACTTTTTTCTGGTGTAAATGAAAGTGTTTGGAGTGAAAGGGAAAAAAGGAGTTTGAAAACTGACTCAACTTTCAAATTAAAAGTTTTCTCACATAGCAGTTTTGTAAGTTTGGTTACCTGTCTTCTCAGGTCTGAAGAACCAAGATAAAGTCTTGGGGTTAGGGTTATTTATTCTCTTCGTGTTCCTCTCCAGTATACCACTATTTTGTGTCTGACACTTCAAAATAAATTATGGGATYATTTCAATGAAGACTGTTGAGAAGAAAGTGGATGATGGTGCATTAATCTTTTTATTCTGCAAGGCTTTCCACTTGTCTTGAATGAATATACAAGCTCTTTTTGTAACTGGACATTATTTTTAATTAGCAGCATGCAGTTTCTATAGCAGCACGCTGATGTCAACAGTTAGAATGTCCTAAAACCACCAACCTTTCAGAAGCTGCTTGTGACTCATGCTAGTACAGCTCGATGGCCATGATTTCATTTTCTTGATAATGAATGTAATAAATTATTCTCACACTTCATGTTGCTAATGCTGTATGTTTTTTGATTTAACAAGTGCTTTGGGCTCACACTGGTTATTTAGTAACAGAAAGCTTTAGCAATTTAGCGGTGATTTTTTTTTTTTTGCATCACAGAGAATTGAAAATAAACACGATTAATTTGACATGCGGACCCTGTTCAGACCCACCTCAGACACCAGTCCTGACCGAAAACATATACGTCACAAATAATCAGCTAACTGAACGCAGCTCCAATGTTACAGTCAGAGTGAAGCTGTGAAGAAAACAGCTGACAACTGAAACACTGCAGTTCTGCAGGTTAAAATCTTCAGCACATTTGTGCCGACACTCAATTATTGTAAGCTTCTTTACCTTTATCATGTCATGTCGGCTTAGTAATTAAGTTTATTGAGTTGTGCAAATAGCTTCACAACAGCACCACTATGATCTTTATGAATCACTGCCCTTAAAGTCTCTTTGGAGTGATGTAGAAAATAAATGGATGTTAGATACTGTAGGTAATAACCATCCAGTTTGTCCACTTCTGTTTAATATCTCATAGACAGTGATGACCACTCTCTTGGCTGAAATATTAAACTTATAACTGTTTTCCATAATGCAGAGTCCTGTGAAAACAGGATATTTAATCCCTAGTAGATGTTAAATTAAACACGCTCATCAAAATTAAACTAATGAACCTTCTTTTTAAAGAAAAGCTAAGTCAATAAAACGTATTGGTAAAGCAGAAATGTCAAGTAATGAAGTACAAAGACTTTGTTAGCTTACTTAAGTAGAATTTTTGGTTATCTATGCTGTACTGTAGTAGTTATTTTTCAGCCAAATATTTACTTCCACTCCTGACATTTTCATGCAACAATCTGTACTTTCTACTCCCTGTGTTTTAAAAATGTGAGAAGTATTTCATTTCTATTTCACTTTGGCTTGTTTAAATGCCCCAGTGCTCCTCGCTGGGACCAGGCTTTGGGTACAGATCCTGATTTTGGGCTGGGAGTTCGGTTTAGGACCGTGGTGTGAATTGAGTTTAGGTTAGGTTTGAGATAAAGGGATGGAGTTAGGCTATAGAAATGACTGGAAAATGAATGGAAGTCAGTGCAAGGTCTCTACGAGGAGAGAAAAACAAAATTGTATGTAAGTGTGTGTGTGTGGGCACGTTTTTGCTARATCATGGGAACAATTTTCCAGAAATACGCAGCCTCGTGAGGACCAAATGTGTATGCTAATTATGGATGTTAATCACGGGTTGGAGGGTTTGGTTTAGGACCAAGGTTTGAATTGAGTTTAGGTTGGGTTTAGGGCAGGGGTGTCAAACTCCTGTCCTCGAGGGCCYCTATCCTGCATGTTTTAGAGGTTTTCTTGCTCCAACACACCTGATTTTGATCGCTGGGTGATTAACAGGCTTCTGCCCAATTTGAAGAGTTAATTCAATCACTGAATCAGGTGTGTTGGAGCTGGAAAAACTCTAAAACATGCAGGATAGCGGCCCTCGAGGACTGGAGTTTGACACCCCTGGTTTAGGGTCAGGTAGGTACGTGTTGTGGTGATAGTCTTAAAACACTTATCCACTTGGTGGCAGTGTTTGCACCTTTACCTGTACCTTTACAT